GAGTTCTAGTCAGTCTTGGTGTGTCATGATAGTTGTGCGTGAGTCTTGTTTTATGTCTTCCTAGGTTTGTGTCTTAAGTCTTGTGTCTTTCTAAGTCAAGTTGAATAAACATCTAGGGGAAAGCAAGCAAGAAAGTAATCCAATGGACCTCGCAACAAGAAAGTTCTTTTGACCCGATTTAGATCAAGCTTTTCAAGATTCAAGTGCAGCTACATTCAAGTGCCAAAAATTTTGAAGCAAAAAAATTCAAGAACTGGATGCACCGTCCTTGCCTCCTCCGAAGAAAGCAAAATCTAACTCATCGGGAGATGACTTCTCAAGAATGGGAGTCTAATGTAGGCAAGGAATGGATCAAAACAAGTTGAGTTGAAAATTTTGTAAGTTCTACTTGAATCAGCTCATTAATGAGCCTCTTCTTATGTTTCAAGCTCATAAATGCTTTCCTCTACTAGATATCAGCTCATTAATGTCTAGTAGAGAGCCTTTTTAGCTCCTAAATTGAGGTTCATTCCCCCATTTGTTGTCCCTTTGGTTCCCGTGAATGGCTCTTTGGTTCCCGTGGATGGTTCCTTGGTTCCCGTGGCTTGACCCTTTGATTCCTGTGGTTGGCTGCTAGTTTTCCCGTGCTGGGTGGCCTTCCCTGTGCCTTGGTGCTTCGGTTCCATGCGGGCCTCCTTGGTTCTTGCAGCTGCCTCTTCGGTTCCTGGCTGGGCTGTTTCCCGTGAGTGTATGGGGGCTTTTCCGTGGCTTTGGTGCTTCGTTTCCTGGAATTAGCTGTTGGCTTTTCATATTCCCTATTTAATTAGCTTTTAAATTAATATTTTGTGGCTATTTGTATTCCCTCGTTTGGTCTATAAATAGTAGATGTTTTGTGTATGTTTAAGTAAGTTTATGAATGATTTTTGGAAATATAAACCCGCGGGTTTTGTTGGAAAAGCTTGCGAGCTTGTTTCATTCTCCTTTTCATCTCCTCTTGGAAATCTTGCGAGCTCTTTCCACCCTTCGTCTTGGCTTCTAACATCTTTCGTCTCTCCGCAAGTACCACCTCACTTGTATCATTCTTCTTTTGGAAAGCAAGTTTAGGGTGTCTTGTTTGAGTCAAGTTTGTAAGAGTCCTTGTTTGTAAGTCCTTTTATAATATTAAAGTTGTGTTTTATTTTTTTAGTTATATTTTGTTAAGTGTTGAGTATTTTATGTCTTTCTATCATCCAAGAAAGAGTTTTGTTTTTTGTGATAAAAAATTTGGATCCCTCTCCCAAATTTTTGATTGCATTAGTGGAGCACAGGTAGGACTTAGGCGTGAACTTTTATGAATGGGCGTAATGGTATCCGATTATTGATTTTTTGTTCATAATGATGGCTAAGAATTAAAACTAGTCCATGCATAGTTGTGCCATTATTGAAGGTGAACAGAGCAATCTTGTGCTTGAAGATTATATAACACCATAGACTTGAAAACAAACTTAGAGGATAATAAAAATGAAAATTAATCTCTTACATATTTATTTATATTCAGAAAAATCTCCAAATAATCTCCAAACTATTCGTGTATGGCCAATTTAGTCTTAGAGTGTGATGTTGCTGTTGACCTGCTTTTGTATCGAGTCTAAATGAGCCCCAATACAACTGATTCGAGCCCGATTAGGCTTGATCAACTCGATCGACTGCCATCGAATTAAAATTGACTCAAATCGAGCCCAAATTTAATTAAATTAAGCTCAATTTAATCAAATTAATATCAAATCGATTGAGATCGACCCAAATCAGTCCAAATTAAGCGTCGTAAAACCAAATTCAATGCAAATCGTTACTGATTCGAGTCTAATTTCATAAAATTAGCTTGAGCAGATCCAATCGAACCCGAATTGACCCAAATCTATTCAGTTTGAGTTCAATCCGGGCTCAATTTCAGCCCAATTAGTCAAATTCAAGTTTATTTGACTTACCAAATTGAGAAATCCAACCGACGGCCTTGATCTCCTCGATCTTTGGCTATCTGCGTACACCGTTTCCCATCGAATCCCATAGGCAATCGAGTGGGATAAGATGATCTTCGGCTATACGAAATCCCATGGTTGGAGGCCTTGTTTCTTGCATAGAGAGGGTGGGAGATGGAAGAGAGGGATTGATTCGGCAAATATTCCTGATTTGTTGATTATTTTGTGAGTATTCGTTGATTATTTTGTGAGTATTTGCTGATTTGTTGCATAATACTCAGCAATTTAATCCTGACGGTTCTTCCATCCGAAGTCTTATTTAGTGAGTATTTACTGAGGATCTTGTGAGAACGAAAGAGGTAGGCGGAGGCGGGGACATTCCCGTGCTACTTCTTGCGTTTGTCGACCCAGACCAAGAGAGACAGCGCAGGAGCCAAAGATTTTCAGGCCTTTGTTGCTTGTGTGCTCCTAGGGTCGTGAGAAGGAGGCGGAGTGGAAGCTTCTGCGTGTGTCTCTGCCTGCATTCGTCCGAGTCAGACTGAGAGTGAGCCACGTCCAGCTGTCCCCGTAGGTTCGTTCCTGCGTCATCTCAAGCTAGATAGAGAGGGATAAGCCTCCCTGCGTTCGCCAAGCCCTCTACTTGCGACCGCGCATTTGAAGGTCGGACTTTCCGCTCAGCACAAGGAGAAATTATTCTGTGCAGACTCCGAATGTGGAGGAACGTTCGGATTTGCTACGTATTTATTGCGTATTTGTAGATTCATAGTAAATACTCAACATATCCTTAGTTGTGAATATTTGATGAGTATTTAGTGAGTATTTGATTAGTTTTTGTTGAGTATTTGTTGAGTTTTGATTGATTATTTGCTGACTTTTACTGATTTGTTGCTTATTTGATGAGTATTTACTACGTATTTTAAAATAAATAGTAAATACTCAACAAATAAGCAGCAATCCAGACAATCCTCCACATTCAGAGTCCGCACAGATTAATTTCCTCAGCACAAGACCTAGCTGGCCAAGAACCTTCAAAAACAATTGCTTCCACGCACGTCTGGGTTGCATCCAGCAGCTCAGATCTTCATTCCCGCATCTAAGAAGGCTCGTGAGCAAAGCTCGAGGTAGCAAAACCAGCCTCCAGGAGTGTTCAAGACAGTAAATCCAGCGATTCGGAGCACTTTGGACAGCAAATATGCCTTCCGGAAGAACTTGGACATCGGCCCACCACTTCTCTAGTTTCTCGCCTTTTACAAGACGAGTGGATTGTTGCTGCGTCGGGTTTACTTCTCGAAACTTAGGAAGAAACCTAGGCCTATCGGCCCGTTATTGTGTGGTTGATGCTCCAAAACCATAGGTCCCTTAGAAACCTTGAATTTTGCTTTCCAAAACCCCAAAATAAAACCTATGCTTGCTGTCCACTTTATAAAACAGCAGAAATCAAGCATTTTCGGCTTGTTTGCTCTCATGTGAGAGTCCGAGAAGGATACCGACACGCGTAGGGTGGCCGGATTTGTGTCCAACAACCCCAAATGCATGTTTTAGCATCATTTTGTCTTCCAACGCCGTCACCTGCGATCAAGCCCTAAGTTAGGTTATTTCATTCTATAATGAGTCGAATGTCGAGGTGTAGGTTTCCTCCAAACGTTGCATACTATGCCTCTTTCTCCTAAAACTATGTCATGACAAAATTGGCACATAAGTATAGGAGCTTACATTTCGCAAAGCTTGTAGATTTTTCCATGATTCTGATCAATGCTCAGAATGCATTTGATTAAGTTCAAACGTTTAGCTTACTGGTTGTAGGATTTGACATGAACTCCAAATATTTATATTGCAAATCCTAGGATTAATGGAGCTCTGGAAATCCATTTTGAGTGTTTTTGTAAAACTTATAGAAATGACAACAATCTTATAAAATCCATAAATTTAGAGACTTGCATTCATGTATCCAATGCATCAACATGTCAAAATTGATTGGGATCTCTTCCAAGCCTTAGTTATGTATTTCCTACATGCATACGTGGGTTTCAAATATATAAATTGCATATGGAATTATTCAACTCTCTCTGTCATGAAAACTCTCTTTAGACATTCAAATCATTTGGCATTAGAAAAGTATTTGTACATCACTAAGTTCATTGAGCTTGTTAAGCATGCTAACACTAAGCACGTGTTCGTTAATTAATAGTTCTTCCTCTTTTGTTAGAGGGTGGTCTGGTCAAGTTGTTTACATAATATGCTCCTCGTATTTGTTGTTTCTTGCCCTTATAATAAAAGGGTAACCTGCTTGTCGCACGAACATCTGAAGGAGAACTTGAATTTTCTCTGTTTATTGTCAATCTCTTATTCTTCCATCTCAAACGTGTTTGCTGTAACACTTATTTCTCCCCACTTATGGTGCATTAAGCTTATAGTCATTCATTTTTATTAACATTGTTGTTCTTGTTGCTCTTGTTATTACTTTTTTTTCCTTTATGTCAGCTAGAATTCTTTTAAATAGCCAATTTAGTTGCTTGCAGATATAGAAAATATTTTAGAATCTGATGATTTTCACTCATTCTATTTATGAATAGGAAATCATTTTGTTTGACTGGTTTCTGGAGTTTAAGCAAATGTCAATTTCCAGTTTTATCCAACCAAATTTTGGTTTCTGCTAATTTCATCATCTCTAAAATATACTTTGTATATGCATCCAGCCATATGGGCCTGAATATTGGTTAGCCTTTCCAAACATTTCATATGCACTTATATTTTACATTTACCCCTCTCCACATTGATGCAACCTTGCATTCCCTCGACCATGCATTAAAACACCTGGGACTTCCACATCAGGTATGGTTTATCTTTGCTTTCATATTAATCTCATTTGATATGGCTATTATGCATTAATTAACCAAAATAATGATGACTGGCATTGTGAATTTTTTAGTCATCAATTGTTGGACTCTTTATGTTACTTTTTCCTACATTTTTCTACCTTATATTGCGACATTGCATCTATCAATGCCCGTACATCCTTTGACTTTAATTAACATATTGGGCGTGGTTTTTTTGGTCTCACAGCTTATTGGAGCGATGAGAAAGGTGAGACCACCATATCGAGGTCAATTGACATATCAATCGCGGTGGCTACAGAGAAGGTAGTTTTTCCTTGAGCTTTCCTGAAAGGTCTTATGTTTTAGTTCTGACAGAATTTCTGAGATACAGGGCTTAATGACGCCAATTATAAGGAATGCAGATGAGAAGACATTGTCAACTATATCCTCAGAGGTATGCTTCAAAAGATATGGTAAACTGTTATGTAGTCTGAAGCAATTGTTTTTTTCCATAGAAGAAGCCATTCCACTGGCATGCCACAGCTTTTTTAAAAATCTGCATGCAATGCACAATAACTTGAATGACTACAGATTTTTTTCATATCATAGAGGCAGATATGAGTGTTCTTAGTGCTTTATCATGATTATGGTGTAATTAAACTCTATGACCCTATTCACTCAAGGAATTGCATTTCAACCCACACGTGGAGGTAAAATTGGCTCTTCAAGTGTTCCAAGGTCTGTTCCAATAATAGATTGAGTTCGTTGGGCGTCTTATCTTAATCAAAATGTCAAGGTTGTCTAATTGGATGTGAAAGGATATCCAGAGAGGTTACTTTATGAAATTCCCTTTTAAGTTTTAACTTTTAAGTAAGCTTTATATTGAGAAAATTAAATTGACCTACAAATGATTGAAGTTTCTCTTAAGTGTTTTTATACGTGCATCACAAGACATCTTATGATTTCGAAAGTTTTCTACCCTTCTAATCAATTGATTTATGGATATGAATGGATTCTCATATTTACACTTAAGTGTAGCAAGTGTCATGTTGAATTAAAATTAGACATGCTATGAAAACTATTCAAACAAATATACGATTAATGTAACTAAGAAATCTTCAAAATGATAATGTAAATGCAAATTTTATCTGATATCAAAGCCTTTTTTTTTTCAAATTCGATTCTAAAATCATTGCTTCTTTAAACATCTTGATATCTGTAGAAGATTAATTTGGGTTTGCTGTGTGTTGGTAGGCAGCAAGTGTAGTTGGTTCTTTTGAGCACCAAATATTCAAAATGTGTTGGAACTTGCCCTGAACCAGCTAAATAGTTAGTAGGGAAGCATTGGACGCACAAATTAGAGTTTTCTAGGTGAGGATCATGTAATGATTAATAGATTTGCAAGCAAACAAGGAACATAAATCTAACTAACAGTTTAGGAGTTTATACTATAAAAGAAACAATTGAGTTAAAAAAAAAAAGAAAAAAAAAAGAAACAATTGAGTTACACGATTCAGTAGGTTCTCTATTGATGATGTTTTTCAATCCGTAAAAATTTGTGGTAATGTTGATGAATAATTAAGGTAATGATAGGCTATCAATTTGTCGTGGATAGAGATGGGTTATGGTTGCAGCTCAAATTTCCACGCTAGAAGGGGTGGATGTCGTTATCAGATGGCTGGGGTGGTTAGGGGAATGGTGATTTGACTAGGGCAGCATTTGTTGCATTAACAAGAAGTTTTGTTAAGGTGCTAACAAGGGGAGATGCTTAGCACAATGGGATGGATCACACTGCGATAAGTGTGCGCTATAGTGTCATTGGTCAATATGGTGGTTTAGGCTTGGGTAAGGCACTACAATGAAGGTGATTTTTGCACGAATAAGCAAATTGTAAGAGTTGAATAACTTGGTTGTTGATTAGGGGTTTCAGCTTGGTAGGGTTGCGTTTGGAAGGGAAGACAAGAAGTGACGTAGGCACACGATGGCACATGACGTGGTAGTTCAAGGCCTAGGAGATCAAATGCAAGTGAATTAGAGCAGATTGCATGTGTGCTAGGTGCACTGTAGAATTTTTTGTTGTACGGATGCAAGCTATTGGATGTATTAGTGGCAAGATGATGTGCAACTAATAATGTGAGTTAGGTTTTCGGAAAAGAAAGTCATGTCACGAACTAGGAGATTGATCAACGATAGTGGAGGTACTTTAGGGCATAGAATGTTTTGAGATAACACAAACAGGCTAGAGCATGAATAGGAAGTTGTGTGCAACTGCATGAGAGTTGAGCATTGTAGAATTGTGAATCGTGAGACGAGGCAAAGGTTGTTCATTGAAGTGATCATGTTAGCGTTAGTGTATGGACTCTGCAAAGAGTCATAATGAAACAACAACAAAGCATATGAATCAATTGTTCTAATGCCACTTAATAAATGAGTAGATATGAGAAAGTGAGGGTGACTAGTTAGTCTCAAATTTTGATTTAACATTCAGTGTCTTAACCTAATCCTTATAGAAAATGACCTTAAGGCAACAAGAAAATAAGGTAATGAATTATTTGGAAGAAAATAAATTATCATAAAAAATAATAAGACATCAAATAAATCTTTTAAAACAAAATTCAAATATTCCCCAAATACATAACATTAAATAAAATAATGAAACATTTAATCTCATTTTTTATGTCGAACAAAAGTTCAGATTGAACAATCATCATGTTTGCTCTAAAACATCATTCTAGTGTTGAGAATAATGATATTAGAGTACTGAATACAGTTTTTATCTTATTACTATGATTATGAAAGGATTATGGTTTGAAGAATAGAAGTTGAATACCTAGTATGTATTGATTTTCTTTTTTTTATTTGATCTTAAAGATAATCAAATTTTATCATATTTCTATGCATTTATGCATTTATCATATTTCTTTTTTAATGGATTACAAAAAAGGATAAAATTTATGCATTCCTTTACTTACTCAACTTTCTTGTTTGGGGTGTTAGTTGTGGGAGAATTTGCTATGTAGGTTACAAAAAAAATGTATCTATTTAATTGAGGAAAGGTTTTCTTGCCTTTATGTAGTAAAGGTGTTCTTAGGATGATGAGTTGATGCCAAACTTGTTAAATCAAGAAAATTATTAAGCAAACTCCTAATCTATATATTCTACAACCTGTGCCAAATGTGTTGTGGCAAGTCATCAAAATGTATTTTTTGATGAGGATTCGCTAGGATTTCTCATGCCCAAGAATTCATTATTAGTGATAGCAGATAGGTTTATAAAATGGCTCATTTTAATTCTTATTCTAAAACTGATGATGCTTCTCATGTAGCTAATTTATTTTTGATTGAAATTGTTTGCTTACATGGCCTTTATTCTTCCATTGCATCTAATAGGGTTGCTATGACTCCATTGTATTTGGTTACATTCATAGCCCCCATGCTCCCCAATAGTGTCAAATTCTTGAGACATTGATCAATAGGATATAATCGAAAGGGCACAAAGCCCTATGTTAGCTAAGGTGGATTTAGATCGGTCCCCTTAGACAAATATTCACCCCACGCCTACAAGGTACCATTAGACAAAGCAACCTATGTCTGCTGATAAGGATCATTTTGTCAGGTTAGGTCGACTACCTCCTCTAAGTAGACCAGGAACTATGATGACCCGGGACAACGAAACCATGAGATTTTGATCGGATCCATCATCATTCCCCCACCATCCGCTTTAAGTGTGAGGTGGTGAAATTTATAATTTTAATGTTAAATTCTCAAGCACCCAAACTCATGCTGTTACTATAAACTAGATACTACATACTTCTACATATCTGTTTGATGAGTAGCCTTAATCGAAAGTTCTCTCTCATTATCAAGAGGGGTAATTAACTATAGGGGTTTATGCCTATAGAAAATCAGAACTCAGATCATAAGGTCTCGCAAAATGAGGTCGAAATCTCTTGGTAGTGTCTTAATTCATACCCCAATATGCCTTCTAAAAATTTATTTCGGAACTTAATTTGTTAAAACTTCCCTAAAAGGAGGGGAGGCTGTGGCACGAATTTTTGGAGCCCACGAGAATCTTCTTATATTTTGTTATAAGAGGATGTCATCAGAATAGATGGTAAATTTTATAAAACTACAATTATGCTGATTATATTGTATGGAATCTTATTGTTGGTCAATAAAAAAAAGTATTGATGGAAGTGTGATACAAATAAAAAAATGTTTAAGATAATGTATGAAAATTAGAATACATAACAACATCAAATCTTTATCCCACTATGTGGATTTTTAAAAATAAACTTAAGGTTTTTACATTTATAAAAGAAAGGTAGAAAATGCACCTATGATTTGATAAAATTGATGTTAAAGGATTAGGATGAAAAAAGTGTAAAAGTGAGAGCTACCATTTCTTTGATAGACGTCGCTCAAAATGATTTGAGAAAATATATTTAACAATTCAAACATTAGTCAACAAAACCGAATGAAAATGAGAATTCATGAAGTTTTTTATCAGCACAAGGCTAATTATAGGGATGATATATTTTCATTGACAAAATCAAAACCTTGCGCATCATAAGACAGTAGATACTCTCTACTGTGCTGTAGATATAGGGTCTATTTGGGATGACTACAATTTTTTATAAAGGTGATTGTAAAATTATTGCGGAGAAAACAGTTTTTTTATATAAGTTTATGTAGAAAGCAACTTCCTGGCAAAAAAAATTATTGTAAACAGTGAAAAAATAGTGGCCAAATAAAATTTTTGATTGCGGCCTGAAAAACAAACTAGTATGAAAGCTGTCCCAAATAAAGCCATGATCTATTCAGGGTGTTTACTTGCAGGTTAAAGAATTGGCTGAGAGGGCACGTAATGGAAAGCTCAAACCTGAGCAGTTTCAGGGTGGGACTTTCAGGTTTGTACACCATGTATCAAATTCTCTAATGACCAGTAGACTTCAGTTTTTGCTCTTTCTAAAATCATTGTATATGCTTACCACGCAGTATATCAAATCTTGGAATGTTCCCTGTTGACCATTTTTGCGCTATCATAAATCCTCCGCAGGTTTCTCCCTCTGTTTCTCACTCGCTTGATCTTCACTCTTCTCTTTCCTTCTCCAATGTTATAATGCCTTTCAACTAATTAATTATATTTACAAATGTGTTTCTGTAGGCATGCATTCTTGCTGTTGGTCGAGGTAATAAGGTTGTCGAGCCTATTAAAGACATTGATGGTATGCTCCACACTGATCGAATTTACATGGCATGTCTCTTAAGATTTTGTAACCATGCCATATTTCATTTAACTTTGCAGGAATTGAGAAGCCTGTAGTGGTGACTAAGATGAGCTTGAAACTGTCAGCTGATCATCGTGTCATTGACGCCGAAATTGGAGGTAGTTTTCCATCATTAAGTTCTTTATTATTAGGCTTTGTTTGGGACGGCTTTTTTGTTGCTTCTTAAAACAGCTTTTTAGTAGAAAAAATAAAAAATTTATATTTAAAAATTATTTTAAGAAGCAACAAGAAAGTCATCCCAAACGAAACTTTAATCATATAACTATTTATTCTTGTTTATTTACAGGCAAGTTTCTTGGAGCTTTGTCATCCAACTTCAGTGACTTGAGAAGGCTGTTATTGTAAGGGATCTTGGGTTCAGATTAGACCACCTTGAGCCTATATTAATTTCAAACCTTTTAATAATGTAACCTCGGATGGCCCACCATTTTTCTGCGGGGATTTTGTAAGATTGTATGGGATGAAACTTGTTTTTTTGTATTTATTCTCAATTGATTTATTATTATTATTATTTTTTTCATCATTTGACTGATGTATCATTTACAACGAGCTTCTGAATTTCGTGTACTGCTAGCTGAATGATGGTTTCATAACCAACAACAGAGCAGGCACCGTTCTTCCCTCGTCTATCAGTTCAGGCGTTCTTGTTAAAGATCAAGGGAATCAGAATTTTGAGGTAATCCTTGAAATAGTTAATGCAGCTGATCTGCCCAACTTAGTTTTTTATATATGTGCGTGTTTTTCCAATCATTGTAGAAGAGTACTTTTTTTCACAATAATAAACATTGTACTAGTTCTTACTTGGGAAACAACTGCTGCTTGAATGTTCACATGATTTATATGCATAATGCTATGAAATTTACATAATAGCTTCTCAAAAATTTTAGTTAGCAAATTTTTTTGACTTTTAGTTAAATTTTGTTTTGCAAATCAAGTGTTAGAGAACTAAACATCAATATACATATCAAATAATAATAATTTAACTTGCATGCATACTTAGATAAAATTTCTGAAGTCCTACTTTAAATGTCATCTTCTTCTTACTTTTGTTATATGCTATGATATTCTCCCCTCTAATATGTTCTTTACACAAAAACCCTTGTTGCGCAATTAGATATTCAAGAAAGTAGAGAGTACTCTAAGTAAATCGTTGGTTCTTCAACCGTATAACCGATGAACTGGCCTTTTATAATAGATACATCCTGTTCAAAACAGTAATCAAATGTGGTTGTGAATTGCAAATCGAACGGTCAAAATCAACATTCCTTCCTCTCCAAACAGCGAATGTAAAATCGTAAAACCCTAAGCAGTTAGCGTATTACCACATTCCTTCCTCTCCAAACTGCTATCTTCTTTGCCGTTCTTGTGTATCTGTATGCCCGTATTACTCGTCCATTCTTTTTTTTTTTTTTTTGGACATTTAGGCCATTTAAGGCAAACTCACACACAAAACGTATACTCAAAGACTCGAATCCAAGATCTCTTAGTTGGAAGCATAAGCTCTCAACCAACAGGTCAAGGTCAGACTGTCAGTCATTGTTTCATGACTTCTTTTCAATAGTCCAGTTGTCATGCTTCTCAGAAGCCTCACAAGCCGTCGCAGGTTCGTCAATTCGTTGCTTATCAACAAGTTTCAAGTTCGATCACCCATTTTATTGTGTTTGCCGCTCGTGCATCCTTCCTCACCACCTTGCCAAAGTCTCTAACTTGTCACATTGCTTTGTAAGAATTCTTCCCCAAACAGAAACTTTTTATCCTAGCACAATTTCTTTCATATGAGATTTGAGGTTTGCTGTCCGTTTATTTTGATTGATCAATGAAATGGATATTCAATTAAAATTCGTATTATTTATAGGAATAAGTTTCATCTTATGAACAGTGTAGATATGTGTTGATCAAATATCAGTAATCTGATTTCGGAAGTTTATCTGAGCTTTTCTCAGTTCTTTAACAAACGAATTTGCAAGAGCATATATACAGACAGTGAAGCTTCACATGCAAAGTTTGTTTTCATCGTGCATTTCATTTAGTCCAATACACAGTACTAATTAGTAATTACATTAGTTCATTGGGCTTAGTTCACTTAAGAGCGTCTAGAAGCAATGCAAGCAACCATCACTGTGATCAAATAGTTATGTACCTCACCACATGCTAGTAAAATTCTCAACATCATGTCTTCAATTAAAAAAAAAAAAACGTATTTACTCATGTTTTATGCTCCATAATTTTTTATTTTGTTCAAAATTTTGCATTAATTTGATATGATTGCATCACTATTGAGTAAATTATGCTATATTTAAATAAAATTAGTATTTATTAAATCATGAATCATGAAAACATGATTCATTATAGGGTCTGATTTTCACAACCTTTGTATTTAATATTATAAATTTATACAAGATCTAATACATGGATATTCAAAAGAAAAGTTGTAAGAGACAATTTATATATGAAAAACCTAAAAAGAAAAAAAAAAGAAGGGAATAAATTAGTTAAAATGATTTTATTAGTATAAATCATTTGATATGGGTAATGCCCTTGTCATAATTGAGAAAGGCATTGATGCAAAGTAGTATACACGAATAATAGAAGATCAATTCAATTGTGAAAGTTGGAGGAGCCTCGAGACAATGATGTCATCTTTTGAGGCAATGGTTCTTTAAATATTTTGACATATTTTAATTAAAATAGACCTCATTTGCATGAAATTTATTTCAAAATAAGTATAATCTATTATTAATTAATTAAATTTGTTATTATGCTTATTTTAAAATAATATTGATTTTTATTAAGTCATAAAAGAGGAGAAAATTCTAAAAATTAAAGGGGATTAGGGCCACATCATTAGATTAATAAAGAAGAGAATTCTGAACTCATTAAAAAAAAAAAAATACAAGACAATTGAAAGATTGAAATAGAAATGGAGGTTAATTAATTTTATTGGTAAAAAATATAGGAGAATATTATAATACAAAATATTATGATCAAAATTAAAATATGATGAATCTCAAAATTGTTGAATTTATTTTGAAATTAATATAATATAAACTCTTTATATATGTACTAATAGTAAAATAAATTCAATCATTTTAAGCATATATTTATTACTATGTGATGACTTTTTATATTATTATTAGTATGTATAAGTTGTGTTATTTATAGGTTGATAATTTGGTTTAAAAAATAATCAAATGAGATATCATTATTTATAAGGTTATTTTACCTTTTATGTGAGTAGAACTGTAATAATTTTTTAGTTCAGACGCGATCTATTCGATTTTATTCGAATGAACCTTCAAAAAAGAATACAATTCAAATATTACACAATTACACCTAATACCATTAAATCCTCCTTTGAATAAAATGACCCAGCCAAAAAATAATATTCAACTAAGCTTGATCTTGATAAGAACCAGCACTTCAAATTAAATTTCATTTTTATACCAAATCAATTGGCTATAAAAAATATTCTTCTATATAAAATAATAATTTAGGTGGGAGGTCAAGGTGGAATTGGATTCCCTTCAGTCAATCTACCCCAAACATACCTTTTTAAAAATAAAAAGAATTAAACAAAAAAAATTTTGCCTTTTTAAAAAGATAAGCCAGATTTTACAAGTTCAATAGTTATTCACCTCATATTATTATAAAAATGGGAGAATAAATAAAGCCTGCGTCATTATTATTATTTATATTATATATTATCCCAAGCTTTATAATTAAAAAAAATAATAAAATAAAATAAATTTAATAAAATAATTAAAAGAAAAAATAAAAAATTAAAAAAATTAGATTTAATTTATTTTCATAAAAATATCAAAATAGTCTCTAGATTTATTTCTTATGACAAATTTAGTCTTAGAAAATATTACGTTATCCAAATTTATTCTTAGATTTATATAAAATTAATTCAAAATGTCTCTCTTATATCTAATAATTGTATATGAAACTCAATCTCAAATGAATATTTTGTCATAATACATAAATTGATTCTAATTATAGTCTCAAGAGATATTTTAATCAATTTTATATACTCAAACTAAATTTGAGGAATGTATGAGATATCTGAAATTAAAATAGCGCTATATATAATAAATTAATAATAGTGGAGTGGTTATTTAGAAATTTAACACGATTATACTTGAATGGCAATGCTATTTTAAATCGCGAGATAATAAAAATAGATTTTTTTGTTTTAATGTAAGTGTCATCTATCGGCTTTAATTCACTGTGATAACTTAATCCATTTAATTTGAATTTTTTTTTATGAGTTGGCTAATAAAATGTTATATTAATTATAATTTATCTGTCTCTGACTTTCGTTATCTTTTATTATTTAATTTATTTGTCTAACGCTAATCAGCCTATTAAAATTTTCTTCTACGGTCCGATGAATTGCGATATATATTATTTTTGAACCGCAAGTTAAAATATTTTTAATTTTTGGGAAATGACGTAGACCTAAAAAGACTTCTAAATGATTATATTCTTGATTATAATTTTAATTAATTTTGATTCTTAATATAACATAATGAAAAAAAAAGTGAGCTCTATGCAAGCTAGCCATATAGTGGGATAAGCTTTATATTATAATTGATTATTGGGAAATGAGGACTCGCCATTTTTCATTAATATATCAAAAAAAATTATATGAAAATATAAGACACAATAGATCAAAAAATTTTAAGTAAGACCAACAAAAAAATAAACAGTCTTATTTAAAATCATAATAAGAATTGTGGCTTCAGGTTTAACCCACCAACATGATCATAAATCAAAATTCAATGATAGTTCATAGTAGCCCTGTCTCGAAGAACCGCATAAGAGAGTTTGTAACATCTATCATAAGACATCATTGCACAAGTAGATAATGTGGACGCCAACAAATTCCAAAAACCTCAAGTAGCAGAGTATGAGAGAATCCCCAGCCAATATTTTGTCCAAACAACTTAAGAAAACCTTGTACACCCATGACTATAGTTTCTTTACCGTGTCTAGTAGTTATGTTTGCGCTCTCTAGCAGCAAGGAGTCCACTTCTCTTTGAGCCATTTATTTGAGCGACTTGTTCCATGAGCCTAAGGAAGTAGCTTATCAACTGAGCATAAGGTACACCATGACTATCTGATGACAGTAATTTATATTAGGTGTCTAAGCAGTTTATGTTTGGTCAAGCAGAAAGAGCGATACCACTCTCTCTAAGCATTTTCGTTTGAGGCGACTTGCTCATGAGCTAGCGAATGAGCTTATCAACTAGGAGCAATAGCGGACTAAACCAGCACCTAATTCTTTTTAAGCAGCGACCCCTGAGAAGCTCAGCATTCCTTTGATTTGCCTTCCAAGATCTGATTTTCCTGCCAGATCGTCCGGGACGATATTTGAGATCGTCCAGCACGCATCCAGGTGCAGTGAATAGCTGCATTTTCTTGGAAGTGGATCGTACCAGGCCAATTTTAGATTCGTCCTGGGTTACGATTCAGAGCCATGGCACAACGTCACGAGAAGCAAATCGTCTAAGGCAATTATTATCGTCCTGAGAAATCGCTCCCAGCCGATTGCGATTTTTTGTTCAGATCGTCCAGGATGAATTGTGGCAGTCGGCCGGGCGATCAGACTTATTTATATAAGGAAATCAACTCGATTTGAGAGAGAGAAATTTTTTTATAAAATCAAAATATCTGAGGAGATGAGAAAGAGAACTGGAAGCAAAGGCAAAAGCTGGTTTCCGGCAGGCCGCAGAGCGCTTTATCGTCCGACGCTGCTGCTATGGAAAAAGTATTTATCTCCGTGGCGTAAGACTCCGAATCCATATTTTCTCGTTTTCGAAAATATATGCAGTGTCGTTTTGGCACAGATTTTGTCGTTTTCC